TACACTGTATACATGTATATTTGTACACTGTATACATGTGTATTTGTACACTGTATACATGTGTATTTGTACACCGTATACATGTGTATTTATACACCGTATACATGTGTATTTATAAACCGTGTACATGTATATTTATAAACTGTATACATGTGTATTTAAATACATGTGTATTTATACACTGTATACATGTGTATTTATATACATGTGTATTTATACACTGTATACATGTGTATTTATACACTGTGTACATGTGTATTTATACACCGTATAGATGTGTATTTATAAACCGTGTAGATGTATATTTATACACCGTATACATGTGTATTTATACACTGTGTACATGTGTATTTATATACTGTATACATGTGTATTTATATACATGTGTATTTACATAGCGTATACATGTGTATTTATACACTGTACAAATGTGTATTTATATACTGTATAGATGTATATACTATATACATGTGTATTTATATACCGTATACACGTGTATTTATGTACCGTATAAATGTGTATTTATACATGGTATACATGTATATTTATACATGGTATACATGTGTATTTATATACTGTAATGTGTATTTATACACTGTATACATGTGTATTTATATACTGTAATGTGTATTTATACACTGTATACATGTGTATTTATATACTGTATACATGTGTATTTATATACTGTATACATGTGTATTTATACACTGTATACATGTATATTTATATACTGTATACATGTGTATTTATATACTGTATACATTTCAATTCAATTCAATTCAATTTATTTGTAAATTTATTTGCGTCAACTCATAACAAGTGTTATCTCAAGACACTTTACAAAAAGCAGGTAAAATACCTCACTCTTTGTCTGTTAACATTACAAAATAGCAGGTAAAAAGACCTTACTCATTGTTATGTTACAAAGAGCAGGTAAAAGACCTTACTCATTGTTATGTTACAAAGAGCAGGTAAAAGACCTTACTCATTGTTATGTTACAAAGAGCAGGTAAAAAGACCTTACTCATTGTTATGTTACAAAAAGCAGGTAAAAGACCTTACTTATTGCTATATTACAAAGACACGGCCTATCCATCATGAGCACTTCAGCAAAGCAGCAAAAGTTACAGTGGTAAGAAGAAACTGCCTTATGAAAAGGCAGAAATCTTCGGCCGAATCCCCGGCTCATGACGAAACAGCCTTCAGAGGCCTAGACTGCACCGGGGTTGGAAAGGGATAGGGGGAGAGATGGGATAAGATGCAGGAAGAGGGATAGGTAGCAAGGGGGTGGGGGGAGGCAGACCATCCATCAACAATCCGGCAGGGGGGGGGTTGTTCTGGCAGGCCGTCAACCAAAGATCCGGTGGGGAGGGGGTCAAGGTGGGGAGGGGGTTGTTCTGGCAGGCTGTCAACCAACAGAGCCTAAGAGAGCTCAAGAGCGCTCAGGAAAGTAGGTGGTTAGTGACTGAGATTTACAGATAGATACATGCAGTAATATGATGTACTGTATATGCAGAGAGATAGAGAGGAGCTCAAGGTGCCAGTTCCCCCGGCAGTCTAAGCCTATAGCAGCATAACTAAGAGCTGGTCTACACCAGCACTAACTATAAGATTTATCAAAAAGGAAAGTTTAAAGTCTATTCTTTTTTTTTAAAGATTATATTTTTTGGCTTTTCGTGCCTTTAATGCAGAGAAAGGACAGTGGACAGAGTCGGAAAACAGGGAGAGAAAGCGGCTATGTGTATTTATATACTGTACATGTGTATTTATACACTGTACACATGTGTATTCATACACTGTATACATGTGTATTTACATACATGTGTATTTATATACTGTACATGTGTATTTATACACTGTATACATGTATATTTATATACATGTGTATTCATACACTGTATACATGTGTATTTATATACTGTACATGTGTATTTATACACTGTATACATGTGTATTTATATACTGTATAAATGTGGATTTATATACTGTACATGTGGATTTATATACTGTATACATGTGTATACGTATATGAACGCTACGCAGCCTCTTCTGATGCTTCTGGAAGATCAAGAGAATCTTTGGTCTGACAACCTGACAAAGAAAGCTGCTGATGCCTTTTCCTTTGTATATGTTTGTAGTTCATCAACTGAGCACTAGGTGGAGCCTTGGCTGATGCTGTGGATAACGACATGGTGGGCTGATCTGGATTTGGTAATCCACCAACAATCATGTGATCCAGCTCACATCACCCGGATCCAGATACAGACTTTGAGGGATCAATAAATCCAGATTATGAGGGCTTTAATGTTATAGTTTGGTCTTTTTCTAGTTTGGTTTTTCAGTGTTTAGTGTTTCTTCTTGTTCTAGTGTGTTTTGTTCATTCTTGAGTTCTGTGTGTTTTTAGTGTTTCATGATTTAGTTTGTAGTTGTCCCCTGTGTTTCTTGTATTCCCAGTGTGATTGCCCTGATTGACCTCACCTGTGTCTTGTTAGTCTCACCTGTGTTTGATTACCCCTGTGTCTATTTAGTCTCTGTGTTTCTTCCCTCCTGTGTCAGTTCATTATATGTTGCATGTGTTTGTGGTATGTCAGTTAGTCGTCAGTTTGCTAGTGTCTCTTGTGCTTCCTCATGGCTCCTTGTATTTTTGTGTTTTGGCATTTTGAGCTTTATTTTAAATAAATCCTTTCTTTTGGTTCTGCACTTGGGTCCACCTCCCGTGTTTTACTCACCGAACCGTAACAGAATAAACTGACCAGAACAATGGACCCAGCGGAAACCTTTGAAAGAATGGATCCTTTTTCAAAGATAAGGTATTTCCAGGACATTTTTCGTTTGGCCAGGAGCACTGCAATACAAGAGCAGTCTCCTTGGACAGGCACCCGCTTGGCTATTTTTAATGGAACTCGTGGAGGCCAGAGAAGAAAGACTGGAGGCCACGGGGCCCGTCGTCCTTTCCTTCCTCCACTGCCCAGCACCCCAGAGTCTCTGCCTCAACCCGAACCTCAACCCAGCCTCAGCCCAGGCCTCAGCCCAGGCCTCAGCCCCGGCCTCAGCACCGGGCTCAGCACCGGGCTGAACACAGCCCAGGCCCCAGCTCAAGCCTCAGCCCAGGCATCAACTCCGGCCTCAGCTTTCCTGTGTTCCTGTCCCTGTACCTGTTCCCGCAGAGCGCCGTCTGCCACCAGTTCTGTCGGAGTGCCGTCTGCCCCCTGTTCCGGCGGAGCGCCGTCTGCCCCCTGTTCCGGCCGAGCGCCATCTGACTCCTGTGTCTGCGTGGGAAGCTCTACCTACTCCCCTGTCTCTGTAGGAGGCCCTGCTCACTCCTAGGACTCCTGTGTCTCTGTGGGAGGTCCTGCCCACTCCTGTTTCCTGGTTGGAGGTCCTGCCCACTCCCGTGTCTCCGTGGGAGGCCCCACCCATTCCCGTATCTCTGTGGGAGGCCCTGCCAACTCCTGTTTCGTCGTCAGAGGTCCTGCTGACTCCTGTGCTCTCGTCAGGGGTCCTGCTGACTCCTGTGCCCTCGTCAGAGGTCCTGCTGACTCCTGTGCTCTCGTCAGGGGTCCTGCTGACTCCTGTGCTCTCGTCAGAGGTCCTGCTGACTCCTGTGCTCTCGTCTGAGGCCCTGCTCCGGCGTCCGAGGTCCTAGGCCGGCGTTCGAGGTCCTGCTGACTCCTGCGCTCTCGTCGGAGGCCCTGCTGACTCTGCCCACCCCTGTGTATCCGTGGGAGGTCTGGCCTCTCACTGGTCCCTGGGTTTGGTTGGCCTCCTGGCCGTCTGCCTGAACTTTCCGGGCTATGTGCCCTGCCTCCAGGCCGTCTGCCTGAAGGTCTGGTTGATTACCCCTGTGTCTATTTAGTCTCTGTGTTTCTTCCCTCCTGTGTCAGTTCATTGTATGTTGTATGTGTTTGTGGTATGTCAGTTAGTCGTCAGTTTGCTAGTGTCTCTTGTGCTTCCTCGTGGCTCCTTGTTTTGGCATTTTGATCTTTATTTCAAATAAATCCTTTCTTTTGGTTCTGCACTTGGGTCCACCTCCCGTGTTTTACTCACCGAACCGTAACACTTTAAAGGGGACATCACATTACATGCTTTGTCCACAGGGGGTGCATATCTCACAGCTGCTCTGAATTAGATATTTAGGAGTTTAATAATGATGCTGTTTGGTGAAATACTGAAGAGAAAAACTTTATTGTTTAAAATCCCTCATCTGTACCTTGTCTACTTCATCATCCTGGTATATTTTTAAAGTGTCTCAAATATTAACAGTCTTTTAGAAATGTTGTTTTGTTTGAGCAATGAAAATATTTTCTTATAGGTTACATTATCTGGCCTGAATCAGCCCTTATCTTAACTCCAACCGTGCAAACATGGATCAGAGTTAAAGGTCAGGGACTGTATTAGCTGAGGTGAGACCTAGCAGATACTTGCAGACCCACTTGTCACTCAAAGAGGCCACGCCCCCTAATTATACATCCCTTTAAGCCTTAATATAATGTAAACAGGTGAGTTGTATAAGTATTCAGCCCAAACAGATGAAGAGAGAAATGAGCTCCAGAGACACAAACTGTTTTTGTACCAGGATGTAAACATGTTTATTTTAACATAGAGCTCTATGGGGACTGACTCACTGCAGGAGACAGACTCTAGTGGACACTGGAGGAACTGCAGCTGTAATGTTAGACATTTTAACATGGAGCTCTATGAGGACTGACTCACTACAGGAGACAGACTCTAGTGGACACTGGAGGAACTGCAGCTGTAAAGTTCGACATTTTAACATGGAGCTCTATGGGGACCAACTCCCTGCAGGAAACAGACTCTAGTGGACACTGGAGGAACTTCGTGTGGTCTTTATTTCTTCTCCCTGCAGGCTGCAGCTTGATTAAAAACCTCCTTAAAGTGAAGTCTGCTCTCTTGGGATCATTTTTGTGGTGGGAAGCGCCATCACAGGGTTAAAGGTACAGTAGCGTGCGTCAGCTGATACGTAGCGTGACGTAACAAGGGGGAGGGGCTGGTCCTCGCGCTGGGCTTCGGTCTGCAGCTCCGTCCAGCTTCCTGCCCGCTGCTGCTGCTACTACAAACGAAGGATCATGTGCCTCTCTCTCCGGCTGTGTGAGGGCAGAGCACCAGGAAGTCATTCTCTGTTTCCTCTCCTCCTCTTCCACCTGACAGCCCGTCTCACCTCCATCTTTCCTTCGCGGATGTTAGCGCTCTGAGAGCCGAGAGAGAAGAGAGAGCCTCCCATCTCCTTCCTCCTCCTCCTCCTCCTGCCGCCGGAGAGAGCAGCTCATGGAGGCCCCGGTGGAGGAGAATGAGCCGTCCGTCGAACAGTCCCTGCCTCTGCCCACCCTGCGCCCGGCTGTGCCCCCTTACGTCACCCTGGGCCTGACTGTCGCCTACACCGTCTTCTACTCCGTCCTCTTCATCTTCGTGTACGCGCAGCTGTGGCTCGTCCTCCGGTACCGACACAAGCGGCTCAGTTATCAGACGGTGTTCCTGTCGCTGTGCCTGCTGTGGTCGGCCCTCCGCACCCTCCTCTTCTCCTTCTACTTCAGGAACTTCGTGACAGCCAACACTCTGGCTCCCTTCCCCTTCTGGCTGCTCTACTGCCTCCCTGTGTGCCTGCAGTTCTTCACCCTGAGCCTCATGAACCTTTACTTTGCACAGGTGAGTGTGCACCTGTTCAGGACACAGGGGGGCGCTGTCAACACTTACATGTTGGTGCAGACTTGTACAGCTTTCACCCCAGTGATAAGTACGGAAGCCCTAAGCAGACATATAGCAGACATTTTATTTTCCAGAGATAACGAGTACATTTAGTTTCCTCGTGATCTTGTCTTCTTTATCTCGAAATCACAGCGCTGTTGGTGAACGAATATCTGCCTGTTAGTTTTTCTATTCCATCATTTTTGTTTTTCATGATCACAAACTATCAAAGCTGCACATTTACACTCTGTAGTTTTAGACCACATTTCTACCTATTTCTACATCACTTTAAGACTTAATATAATGTTAATAGGTGTCTTATATTGAAAGCCATTTTAACACAGAGCTCTATGGGGACTGACTCACTGCAGGAGACAGACTCTAGTGGACACTGGAGGAACTGCAGCTGTAAAGTTAGACATTTTAACATTCAATTCAATTCAATTTATTTTTGTATAGCATCAACTCATAACAAGTGTTATCTCAAGACACTTTACAAAAAGCAGGTAAAATACCTCACTCTTTGTCTGTTAACATTACGAAAGAGCAGGTAAAAATACCTTACTCATTGTTATGTTACAAAAAGCAGGAAAAACACCTTACTCATTGTTATGTTACAAAGACACGGCCTATCCATCATGAGCACTTTAGCAAAGCAGCAAAAGTTACAGTGGTAAGAAAAAACTGCCTTATTAAAAGGCAGAAATCTTCGGCCGGATCCCCGGCTCATGACGAAACAGCCTTCAGAGGCCTAGACTGCACCGGGGTTGGAAAGGGATAGGGGGAGAGATGGGATAAGATGCAGAGGGAGGGATAGGGAGCAAGGGGGTGGGGGGAGGCAAACTGTCCTATCAACAATCCGGTGGGGAGGGGGGGGGGGGGGGGGTGTTCTGGCAGGCCGTCAACTAACGATCTTGAGGAGCCTAAGAGAGCTCAAGAGCTCTCAGGAAAGTAGGTGGTTAGTGACTGAGATTTACAGATAGATACATGCAGTGATATGATGTACTGTATATGCACAGAGAGAGAGAGAGAGGAGCTCAAGGTGTCAGTTCCCCCGGTAGTCTAAGCCTATAGCAGCATAAGTAAGAGCTGGTCTACACCAGCACTAACTATAAGATTTATCAAAAAGGAAAGTTTTAAATCTATTCTTAAAAATACAGACTGTGTCTGCCTCCTGGACCCCGGCTGGAAGGCGATTCCAGAGGAGAGGAGCCCGATAACTGAAGGTTTTACCTCCCATAGTACACTTAGAGACTGTAGGTACCACCAGCAGGCCTGCACTCCGGGACCGCAACGCTCTCGAGGGACAGTACGGCACTAGTAGCTCCTTAAGATAAGTTGGTGCCTGGCCATTTAGAGCTTTGTAAGTGAGAAGAAGGATCTTGAACTCTATTCTAGACTGTATAGGGAGCCAGTGCAGAGAAGCCAAGACAGGAGTAATGTGGTCCCTTTTCCTGGTTCTGGTCAGTACACGAGCTGCAGCATTCTGGATCAGTTGAAGAGTCTTTAGAGACTTGCCAGAGCACCCTGACAAAAGAGAGTTACAATAATCCAATCTGGAGGTAACAAATGCATGAACTAGTTTTTCTGCATCATTTTGCAACAGGATATTCCTGATCTTGGATATATTACGAAGGTGAAAATAGGCTGTTCTTTAAACTTGCCTGATGTGAGAGCTAAAGGACATATCTTGATCAAATAGAACTTCTAGATTCCTAACAGTGGTGCTAGATGCCAGGCTGATGTCACTAAGGACAGTCAAATCACTAGAAAAAGTCTCTCTGAGGTTCTTAGGGCCTAGCACAATAACTTCAGTCTTGTCTGAGTTAAGTAGCAAAACATTTCCGGTCATCCAGGTCCTAACGTCCTTAAGGCACGTTTCTAGCTGACATATCTGACTGGTGCCATCGGGCTTCATTGATACATAGAGCTGAGTATCATCTGCATAACAATGAAACTGTATGGAGTGTTTCCTCATAATATTTCCCAGAGGAAGCATATATAATGTAAAGAGAATTGGTCCAAACACTGAACCTCGTGGGACTCCATGGCAAACTTTAGTGTGCATAGAGGACTCATCATTAACATGTACAAACTGAGATCGGTCTGATAAGTAGGATTCAACAGTCCCTGTAATTCCAAGCAAATGCTCCAGTCTGTACAACAGGATCCGATGGTCAATGGTGTCAAAAGCAGCACTAAGATCTAACAAGACGAGCACAGAGAGAAGTCCCCTGTCTGAAGCTAGAAGTAGATCGTTTGGAACTTTAACTAGTGCAGTCTCAGTGCTATGGTGGACTCTAAATCCTGACTGAAACTCCTCAAATAAACTGTTGTCATGGAGAAAGTCACACAGCTGATTAGCTACCACTTTCTCCAGGATCTTTGAGATAAAAGGAAGGTTGGATATAGGCCTGTAGTTAGCTAGAATTCCTGAATCTAGAGTAGGCTTTTTAAGTAGAGGTTTGATTACCGCTACTTTAAATGACTGTGGTACATAGCCTGCCAGTAAAGACGAATTGATCATATCTAATATAGAGTTGTTAACTAAGGGAAAGACTTCCTTAAACAGCTTGGTTGGGATTGGGTCTAAAAGACAGGTTGATGGTTTCGACACAGAAATAATTGAATTTAGCTCTGAAAGGTCGATTGGAGAAAAACAGTCAAGACTAATATCTGGTCCTGGAACTGTCTCTGCCGTATCAGACGTATCTGCACCAGGTAAGGGCAGGAGGTTACTAATTTTGTCTCTGATGTCTAGAATTTTATTGTTGAAAAAGCTCAGGAAATCATTACTGCTGAGGGCTAAAGGAATACAAGGCTCAATGGAGCCATGACTCTCTGTCAGCCTGGCTACAGTGCTGAAAAGGTATCTAGGATTGCTTTTGTTTTCCTCGATTAGAGAGGAGTAGTAGGTAGCTCGAGCATGACGTAGAGCCTTCATATATTTTCTATGACTATCCTGCCAGAATAAACGAGATTCTACCGTTTTGGTCGAGTGCCATATTCTTTCAAAATTCTGCGACGATTGTTTTAGAGTACGGGTTTCTGAGTTGAACCATGGAGCCACTCTCTGCCGCTTGACAACCTTCTGTTTCAGGGGAGCAATCGAATCCAGAGTAACTCTCAGTGGTTCCACTGCACTATCAACAAACTGATCTAGCTGAGAGAGACTAAAGCTATCAGAAGAGTTTCCAACTGGGTTGAAACACGGTACTGAATCAAAAGCAGCTGAAATAGCTTCCTTAAATCTAGCCACAGCACTATCAGACAAACTTCTAGAGAGCACACCTCTTCCAAGCAGAGATAATTCTGGTAGGACAAAGTCGAATGTAATAAAAAAAATGGTCTGATAGAAGAGGATTTTCTAGGAAAACTGTAAGGTTTTGGATTTCAATGCCATAAGCTAAAACAAGATCCAGGGTGTGGTTAAAATGATGAGTAGGTTCGTTTACACCCTGGGTGAAACCAATAGAGTCTAATAGTGACATGAAAGCTGTGCTAAGGCTATCATTATCAACATCCACATGGATATTGAAGTCACCTACAACAATTATTCTATCACTGTTCAGGACTAAATCTGATAAAAATTCTGCAAATTCAGATAGAAACTCAGAATATGGGCCAGGAGGGCAGTAAACTACAACAACTAGAACTGGCTGAAAGGTTATTGAGACTGGATGTGAAAGACTAAGAACAAGGCTTTTAAAAGAAGAAAAATTCAGCTTTGGTCGAGGGTTAACTAGAAGACTAGAATTAAAAATAGCTGCTACACCACCACCTCGTCCGGTGTCTCGAGGTATATGAGTACAAAATGACTGGGAGGAGTGGATTCATTCAAACTAACATATTCATCTCGACACAGCCAGGTTTCAGTTAAACAAAGTAAATCAATATGCTGATCTGATATCAGATCATTCACTAAAAGAGATTTGGATGCTAAGGACCTAATGTTCAAAAGTCTGCAGTGAATCTTCTGTTTCTTTTGCAAAATTGTATTTGTAGTTTGATTCTAATGAGGTTTTGACGATTTACGCCTTTTTCTTCTATGTTTGGATGACTTATAAAAATGGGTCTGGACCGGGGGACAGACACAGTACCTATAGTATAACTACAGTTCGATTCAGAATTACAGCTATAGTGACTGGGAGACAGATCTAAGGGAGGCGCAGAGAAGCGTGTAAGACTGCAGCTCTGCCTCCTGGTCTGAACTCTGTGTTGTTGTCAAGGTTTTGGACTTGAACATGAACATGGGGCTCTATGGGGACTGACTCACTACAGGAGACAGACTCTAGTGGACACTGGAGGAACTGCAGCTGTAAAGGTAGACATTTTAACATGGAGCTCTATGAGGACTGACTCACTGCAGGAGACAGACTCTAGTGGACACTGGAGGAACTGCAGCTGTAAAGTTAGACATTTTAACATAGGATAGGATAGGATAATACTTTATTGATCCCCAGAGGGGAAATTCGGGCGTTACAGCAGCACAGACAAGAAAGCTCAAAAATACACATTAAACAGAATAAATAAGATAAATAAAAATAAAAATAAAAACAGGGGGTATACAGTACAAAATGAATGATGAAGTTAACTGGGGGGAATTGAGAGTTGAGACAGTATTTGCAGAGAATGACAAGATAAAGTGACAAGTGATTAAAGTGACTTGGTACTCGTAAGTAATGTAAACAGCAGAGAAGAGAGGCAGTGTTGTACCACAGTAATGCAGAGTGCAGTCATATAATATAATGTAGTATAATATAATATAGTGCAATATAAACAATATAGTGTAATATAATGAAATGTTATATAATATAGATTAGCATAATAATATAATAAAAATATATAGAATGTAGAGCTCTATGGGGACTGACTCACTGCAGGAGACAGACTCTAGTGGACACTGGAGGAACTGCAGCTACATGTTAGCTTCATTTCTTAATCCTGGAGGTTCCTGCTGGATTCTCTCTGTTGTTGATGCTCTAACAAACTTTGACATGGAAGCGTTTAGTCCTTAATACTTTTATTTATTATGATTTGATGTATTTAGTGAATCGTCCTCTTACGTCTGACTTCATCCACATATAAAAGTCAAAGCGTCTCTGGCGTGGTTTTAAAGGTTATTTTTAGATGAATGGTGTGCTGTGAGTCAGAGCAGTGATCGTCTCACTGAGTGCTCTGATCAGCTGCTTTCAGCTTCCTGTTTCTGATGAATACAGAAGTGAAACCAGGCTGTAAAAACAGAGTGACACATTTATATGATTAACGGTTTGATTTCTGTTCACAGGTTGTTTTCAAGGCCAAGTCCAAATATGCACCTGAGCTCCTGAGATACAGGTAAGAGCCCTGTCAGAGCGTCATCTCTTTATTTGACTGTTTGAGATCTCGTGTTAGGACTCAGCTTCATATAAATAATATTATTATATATAAACAACAAAGTGTCATCTCTCTTTAAATCAGGCAGGAAGCCATCTTTAGCTCTCAAAGATCCTCTATTCTCTGAGACGTTTTAACCTGTGATGATTTCATTTGATGAAAACACCCGAGTCATGGTTACGCACGCCGACTGTTCATTTATGAAAACATGGAAATCCATTTTGTTCTGACTGAAGGTCTAACCCTGAAGGTCTGACTGAAGGTCTGACCCTTGAAGGTCTGACCCTGAAGGTCTGACTGAAGGTCTAACCCAGGTCTGACTGAAGGTCTGACCCTTGAATGTCTGACCCTGAAGGTCTGACCCTTGAAGGTCTGACTGAAGGTCTAACCCAGGTCTGACCCTGAAGGTCTGACTGAAGGTCTAACCCTGAAGGTTTGACTCTGATGTTGACCCTGAAGGTCTGACCCTGAATGTCTGACCCTGAAGGTCTGACTGAAGGTCTGACTGAAGGTCTGATTGATGGTCTGACCCTGAAGGTCTAACCCTGAAGGTCTAACCCTGAAGGTCTGACCCTGAAGGTCTGACTGAAGGTCTGATCCTGAAGGTCTGACCCTAAAGGGCTGACTCCTGTCCCAGATCTTCTCTGATGTTGACCCTGAAGGGAGACTAAATAATCTATTTTTAGTGTTTTTGTGTGCTGCCCCCTGCAGGCTGCCTCTGTACCTGGTCTTCCTCTTCCTCAGTCTGCTCTTCCTGGTGGTGAACTTGGTGTGCGCTCTGCTGGTGAAGACGTCGTCTGCAGACGTTCACGCCATAGTGCTGGTCAGGGTGACCATCAACGACACGCTCTTCGTCCTGTGCGCCGTCTCGCTCTCAGTGTGTCTCTACAAGATCGCCAAGATGTCCCTCGCCAACATTTACCTGGAATCCAAGGTGAGGAGTCTTTTGTGCACCAATCAGAGACGTCCTCTCTGATGGCTGATCTATGTGTTCTGTTTCTATGCAGGGGACGTCAGTGTGCCTGATGGCTGATCTATGTGTTCTGTTTCTTTGCAGGGGACGTCAGTGTGCCTGATGGCTGATCTATGTGTTCTGTTTCTTTGCAGGGGACGTCAGTGTGCCTGATGGCTGATCTATATGTTCTGTTTCTATGCAGGGGACGTCAGTGTGCCTGATGGCTGATCTATGTGTTCTGTTTCTTTGCAGGGGACGTCAGTGTGTCAGGTGACCGCCATTGGAGCCACCGTCATCCTCCTGTATGCGTCGCGAGCGTGTTACAACCTGCTCGTCCTCGCGCTCGCCAACAAGAGCATCAACTCGTTTGACTACGACTGGTACAACGTGTCCGACCAGGTCATCTCTTGTTTTGAAACGTCTGCGCTCCTATTGGCCGATCTCTTTTCTTCTGATAAAGTTTGTTTTTGTTTTTCAGGCCGACCTGCAGTCGACTCTCGGGGATGCCGGCTACATCGTGTTTGGCGTGGTCCTGTTTGTGTGGGAGCTTCTCCCCACGTCACTCGTCGTTTTCTTCTTCAGAGTTCGACAGCCGAACCAGGACCGGGTGAGCTCGCTGTGACCTCGCTGTAGCGATGCGTTTGGGGGTTGATGATGATGATCTTTTGTTTTCTCGCCCTCAGAGCGGCGCTGGTCTGCCTGGTCACGTCTTCTCTTCGAGGTCGTACTTCTTCGACAACCCGCGGCGCTACGACAGCGACGACGACTTGGCGTGGAGCGTCATGCCTCAGAACATCCAGGCCAGGTAAAAACACAGAGAGGTCAAAGGGCACGAGGTCAGCTAAGGGGGGTCTTCAGGACTGACCTTGAGAAGACGGTTAGGGTTCAGAGGTTACAGACTCCCCGTGGGGACCCAGTTCAAGGAAGAAGCTCCTGGTGGTCTCGGTTCAGAGAGGCAGATAGTGGATCCACACTTCAGCTCGGTCTCTGTGACTAAGTGGGTCCAGACTTCAGCTCGGTCCTCCTCCTTCAGAATGACCTCTGACCTCCAGTCGGTGGTTACTCTGCAGGACACCATGCCCGGCGCAGCTGGGTTCTGGTCTTGGAATGAGGAAGTAAACAACAGCCCAGCTGACGTCAAACGCCGTTACAGTGTGGCGTCCACTTCCAGTCTGAAAAAGCTGACGAGAGATTCATTTAGAGTTTCATGATTTAGAGACTCAACAAAAAGAACTGGAGATCTCTTTGTGAGGTCTGATTGAGATTATTTCTTCTGTTACGATGGACGCTGCTGTCCGTCATTTTGACCTCTGACCTGTGGGAAACAGTACGTGAGGGAGACTGGTCTGATACAGACAGACAG